CGGTAACCTGGTTGCCGAGTTCACGAAGTGAATTGGCTTGTTTTACAACGTCGTTGCCAGGCGACGATCACCCAATCCCGATGGCAAACACCGGGAGGGGCGGCTTGTTTTATAACGTCGCAGTCAAGCGACGAAAACCCAACCCCGATGGCAAACACCGGGGGGGGTTCGGTAATGGGGAGGTGTTTACACTCCAAGCAAGAGAAGGCGGTTCTGGAGGAACTTCACAGCTCCCTGGCTTTTAGGCAGGATGTCAGCCTTCTGCAAGTTAGTCTCGATGTACTTGACGTCGACGATTGTCTTCTCCTCTTAGTACCGGACGTGGTGATACTTGACGTCGATATGTTTAGTACGGGGCGTGAGTTTGGCGCCCTTAGCAAACGCTATAGCGCTTGTGTTGTCCTCAAACACTATCGTGGGCTGCTCCTGCTTCATGTTCAGCGACTTCAGCAAATTACGAAAGTGGATGACAATATTGCACGCCTTGGACAGGGCAAAGGCTTCAGCCTCAAACGTGGAGATGGCCAGCACCGTTTGCTTCTTGGATATCCAGTCCACTGGGGCACCNTTGTGTTGTCCTCAAACACTATCGTGGGCTGCTCCTGCTTCATGTTCAGCGACTTCAGCAAATTACGAAAGTGGATGACAATATTGCACGCCTTGGACAGGGCAAAGGCTTCAGCCTCAAACGTGGAGATGGCCAGCACCGTTTGCTTCTTGGATATCCAGTCCACTGGGGCACCTGCGAGATAGAGAACGGCACCGGTTGTGGAGTAGCCTTTGTCTTGGTCACCTGCAAAATCAGGGTCCACGTACGCCGTGACTTTATCTCCGCCGTCGGCGTCTTCGGTGTATGTGATTCCGATAGAGGTCGTTCCTTTTGGATACCGGAGTACCCGCTTCAGCTTTGTCATCGCTCTGGGACCTGGCTTCGCCATACTCTTCGCGAGCATCATCACCGAGTGTGTTATGTTCGGTCTTGAGCCCCTGCTGAGATACAGAAGGCTACCCGTGGCGGACCGGTAGTATTTGGTGTCCTCTGGAAATAAAACCTTCTCCTCCTCGATGCTGATAGGTCCAGGTTCCGCCGGTGTCTTCACCGGGCGCGATTCGGTCATTCCCAACTGGTTGAGCACGGTCTTTGCGTACGTCTCTTGAGAAAGGAATATGGTACCGGCGTCGACGTTCCTTTCGAGCTTCATACCAAGCAGGTGCTGAGCATCCTCCAAGAACACCGTGCTGAACCGTTCCTTCAGCAGATCAACGACCATCATGACCTTATCCTCGTCCTTCCCCGACAGCAGAATGTCGTCAACGTACACGAAAAGGATAACTCCTTCCGCTTCGAGAATGTAGTGACAGGGGTCTGCTTTACTCTGTACGAACCCTTTCTCAATCAGGAAGTCGTGGGAGGTGCTGCACCATCCTTTCGGGGAGAGACGCAATCCGTAGAGCCATGCCTTTAGCCGCCAAACCTGCCGTGCTTGTTCTGGAGAGCATTCGAAACCCTTCGGAGGACGAACATAAATCGGGTCTGCGTTAGCGGGGATCCTGGCATGTAGGAACGCTGTCTTGATGTCAGCCTGTTTTAGAACAAGGCCATTCTGAGCAGCGACGGCGACTACTAGATGTACCGCCTCCAATGTCGCCACTGATGATGCCTTGTCTTCCCCCGTGTCTTCTTGATGGAAGCCTTGGACCACGATACGACTCTTCAGTATAGCTAGTTCTCCGTGTGCTGCATACTTCCGTTTGTACAGGTATCTTGACGGAAGTATATCACCGTCCGCCGGCCGTTTCACCCAATCGTATACGCCGAGTTCCGTGAGCGAACGATTTTCTTCGCGCATACTCTCCCTCCAGTGGTCAGCATCTGGTCCACGTGTTGCGTCGTCTTGGTTGGTCGGGTCGGGAGACCTGGAACCTATTTCTCCAGGGTTGCCCGTCCCGACGTTTCCGAGTACACCCCCTGTCAGAAGAGCTTGTTCCACCTGAAACACGCTAGTGCACCTTACCAGCTCTGTCACTTTCTCGGCCGGAGAGTCAGGAGGGGTAGTGATATCGAGGTCCGTCGCTGCCGCAGGCTCCGCGAATTCCTGCAGGTCGTCAGTGGCGCGCACATTCGGCAGCGCCGACTCGGTCCACATCGTGCGTCTGCTCATCTCCAGCAGCGCACTCCCATACTTGCGGATCATATATTACGACTCCGTCCGGCAGCGCCGGTGCAGCCGCGTCTTGCTCCTGGTCACCAGCAGCAGCGCGCTCCCTCGGCAACGCCACAGCAGGGGCGTTCAGCTCCTGCTTGTCGTTATCGAAGACGATGGCGAAATCTTCAAGCTCATCGTCCGCCGCCTCCACCCGCGTGTACCAAGCCTGCGTGGTGGAGTCTTGCGTGTTGTGCACCTGTCCTGTGTTGTTGTCCTCCGCCTCGTGCCTCCGGCGGAGCGGGCATTCGTCCCACCCGTGCTCGGTGCTGTTACGGCAGTATCTGCAACGTCCTTTGACGGTTGCGGCCGGTATCCTGAGCCCGACCACGACTTCCAGAGTTTCGGCTCCTGCGATCATTCCCGCGTCCGCCATGCGCATTTCCCGCGCTGTCTCCTCCGGAGGTTCCGTTGTTGTTGTTGTTGCCGTTCGACGTTCGACCCACTGAAACACTCACTGGTCGAACCGTCTGCAATTCGGCCGCCATTACCTCGGCGGCTGCGTCCACCACGGCCGCCACGGCCGCCACGCCTGCGGAGACCACGTGCTCCTTCGTGCGCGACAGTGTTCAACGCACGGCCGTGGCTGCCTGAACCGTCACCATGGTCAGACATTTCTTCGCGAATTTGCATGGCATGATACGAAGTTGCACGGCGCGCTATCTCCTCGAATACGAGACCATCGCTTCCGAGGATTGTCTTTTCGCTCATCAGGACATTTTTGAACGAGCCATACTGTCCATTAGGGAGGGCTCGTAGTAGGGCACCTGCTTTCCGTGTTTCCACAACTGCATCTCCTAAACTTGTCCAGTTCGAGGCAGATGCGGCGCAACTGTTGAATCGCTCGGGCCGGGTCGTATTTGTCGGCTGGAGTGACCATTACGGAAGTAAGCTCCTCATGGAGCTGTTGCATGCGAAATACACCCTCAACACGGTACTTCTGCTGGAGAGCAACGAACGCACCTCGTCCATCACCATACTCCTCGTCACCGACTGGCCCATGCTGCTGTACCACTTGCGAAGCAGGGCTGGAGTATCCATCCGGGCCATCAGACGTGGCCAGAAGCAGTCTCGTNATTTAACGCACGGCCGTGGCTGCCTGAACCGTCACCATGGTCAGACATTTCTTCGCGAATTTGCATGGCATGATACGAAGTTGCACGGCGCGCTATCTCCTCGAATACGAGCCCATCGCTTCCGAGGATTGTCTTTTCGCTCATCAGGACATTGTTGAACGAGCCATACTGTCCATTAGGGAGGGCTCGTAGAAGGGCACCTGCTTTCCGTGTTTCCACAACTGTATCTTCTAACTTGTCCAGTTCGAGGCAGATGCGGCGCAACTGTTGAATCGCTCGGGCCGGGTGACCATTACGGAAGTAAGCTCCTCATGGAGCTGTTGCATGCGAAATACACCCTCAACACGGTACTTCTGCTGGAGAGCAACGAACGCACCTCGTCCATCACCATACTCCTCGTCACCGACTGGCCCATGCTGCTGTACCACTTGCGAAGCAGGGCTGGAGTATCCATCCGGGCCATCAGACGTGGCCAGAAGCAGTCTCGTTAGACTACACTTTTCCGTTCTTTTCCTTGAACTTTGCGGCAATTTTTATTCGATATAGTCTACTACTCGTAGCATAGCATGCGGGTGGTATAGTCTATTGCGTATACATATGCGGGTATTTGCAGTGACGAACTACGGAGGTACAAGAAGTTTCTTTATGTTTTCCTTGGGAGTGTGGTAGATTGGTGGAGATTCATAAAGATTCGTTTTGGGTGTTTGAGCGTTATGCGTGACTTGACGCCGTGATGGAATGACGAGCCCAAGCACGCCCCCGATGAATACAACACGTATACAACACGTTTTTCCACACGTCTGTACGACTTTACCTACCCCTACGGCCCGTCATGGCCGAGCTGCGCTACACTCCCATCACACACAACTGAGCCACCCGAATTATCGATCAATTTTACTCGTGTCCCGCGATTTGAGTGTCGGTCGCTCCCGCTGGCAAAGGCGCAGGAGCAATCTCCGCTCCCGACATGACCCTACTCAGTCCAGCTTCGGACATGAGGGACCGAGTCAGCGTGACCCAACCCTCGAATTGGGCCGGATCCCCGCTGAACGGCACATAACCCCTCTGGAGATGGTTCAATGATTGCGCCATGTTGACTCAACGTAGTTCCCCTACCGCGCGAGGCGCATGACCTGTTGGGCGTACTAGCGGGACCTCACCGCTGTTATACGTTGTGGTTGGCGTATGTGACGCAAGAGGCTCGGGTAGAGAAACACAGAGTGATCATTATTTCACACATCGGCGTCCAAGCTGTCTTCACCTGACGGTTACAGACTTGGATACACGCCTTCACCATACTGCACCAAACCCTGCAGTAGCATAGAGTCAGTTCTTGCACACAATTCTCCCAACAGCAATATCACCCCCCGCGACACCTCCCGACGACATGCTACAACTCGGTCGTGGCGAATGTAATGAACGACGTCCAGATGTTGAGGATGAGCGCGTGCTTCGCGAGGAATCAACAACAACGAACTCAACGTGAACAACCAGACAATAAGTACATCCTTGTCAGTGTCTCACTTCCATGTACCACAAGAGCCCTGATCCCATCAAAAACCTGCTGCAGCACTCCTTCTTCATCAAGGCCAACCTGTCATCATTTTTCTCACGTGTTGCCGTTAAGCTTGAGGAAGCGCTTGAGACCACCCCTCAAGTCCATGCCGCCTGACCGCGCGTGCGCACACAAGAACACAACGAAAGGAGCGGTAAACGTACACATGGCACGATTCGAGGAAATGTTCGCTTTGTACATAGATCGTGTCGTGTTGAGGTCGACGAACGCGAGCATGACAGCCTCCAGATCCATGCCATATGCAAGTGCTACCTTTTGATAGCCCAACCGGCCGAGAGTCCCCCTCGGAACGCTCAAGACGGGGGGCCTCAAGCAAAGGTTGCGACACCCGTGGCTTGCACATCATGACAACACGCATCGGTGAGTTTGAAGGGTATTTGGGCCGGAAAGAACTCCCTGTTTCGGTATAATGGGCACGGTAGTCAGGCCCAACAAAGCTGCATGCAAGCGACTCTAACTCGAGGTGAAATGCCCTTAGCGCATGTTTTCCCAAAAAAAATGCGCCTGTCGTGAAGTGCTAGGATGCGTGGCGGGAAACGCGTTTTTCGTGCTCTAAAGGTGCTTGCATGCGTGGCGGGAAACGTTAATGTTGTGTGAGTAAATATCATCAACACAACACACGCACTTTTCTCGGCGCGCAGGGTGACCGATTTGGCAGCCTCGGTCGCCGCCGCACCGGCCTTGCCTTTGCAACAGTCTCGCCCGCCACGAGCTTGAAAAACTTGTTGCTCTTCGAGAAGCTGGCGCCGTAGTCGCTGGCGTCCTTCATCCAGCGGTACAGGAGGCCGTCTTCGATCTTCAAGAAATAACCATGCACACACAGCAACAGCAGCAGCAGTCAGCGCACAAAGAAATGAAAAGCGGCAGGGGTGGCTTCAGAAAACACCAGAGTACAACACGACAACTTTTATCGCAAAGGAAATTTGGCAGTCATTTTTCATATTTTCAACGGGAAAAAAAATGGAGCTGAGGTATCAAGCACAGCTAACGACGAACTCTCCCACCCGGAGAGCTGTTGCACTCGCAGACTTTGACGGGGTCCCAGGTCATGGCATTTTGCATTTGCTGTTTTCAACAGCACTGAGACTGGTGCCATTTCATTGGTCAGCAGGTTGTCGCGCTCGATGCTAATACACGCACAAGATCCGCCTCAACGGTCTGAAGAAAAAGAAAGGAGGGGGGATCGCTGAACCCCCCTCCCTCCCGTTCACCATGAGACTGACTTCCCGCATCGTGGAAAAAACAAGGTTCGAAGGGCCTCAGAGGCCGGCACTTCATGTGAACCTGGCGGCTGGCTCTACCTTCGTGCCTTAACGAGGGTGACTACTGAGTACATATCGCGAAACGAAAAAGATGGGATCAAATAATAGAAATAAAAGTATATAAAAATCACCTCGTCCGAGGAGGAGGCAGCCCAGCGAAGGAGTGGCCAAAACTCGCTCAAGAGCTCGTGCGGACTGCCGAAGTTGACAGCTTCGACCCCCTCGCCGATGTCCACCTTTACGAACAGGTGGTTCATTCCATTCATCTGTGGTGAATATACAAGGTTCAACGGCATCCAACCCGTTTTCAGTATGATTTAATGAAACAGCCACCCCAAACGGTATCCAGATTACATTATTGCTGGTAATTCACAACAGCAGTGGGTCGATTAGCTCTTGTGGTTCTTGGACAGGACCCCATTAACAACCCGGGGGGGGGGGGGGGGGGGGGGG